GATTAGTATGCCAGCAGAAAATATAGAGAACGGCAGTGCTAGAAAACCTAAAATCTTAAATATTCGACTGAGACCGTAGAAACGGGGTAACATAAATTGATTATCGATTATATGCATATGAGGCTAGTTTTTAAGTGTATATAACAGTTAGGCAATTCATTATTGAGCTTGGAACTTATAGGCCTAGCTTCGATGCCTGCCTTAGTGTATAAAATGAATGGAGTTACATGTTTCAGTAAAGACGAGTATCTTGAGAATTTCCATTGTGAGTTAGGTTCCGTTTCACATATATCGAATGAAAGTTAATCATGATCGATGATGTAGGTACAGCGGATCAAGAGTCTTAGGGACCTTGGAAGTCTTGCTGAAGCAGGCAAAAATCAACAAGATTCTTATGGCCCTGTGCTGCAGACATCTAAAAACACCATAGACTTGCGTGGGCTGAGAGTGGAGGATGCTTCGCACCAGCTCAACATGGCTATTGACTCAAGAGCGCCTAATTCTGTTCTTTTTGTTATTCATGGGATGGGAACTGGGGCTGTAAAAGAATCTGCACATAAATTACTAAGAGATCATCCTCGTGTTGTTAAGTTTGAACAGGAAAGTCCTATGAATTATGGTTGTACAGTTGCTTATATCAAATGAAACACTTCTCAAAACCCAGGTAAAGGTAATATACACACTGAATAGTGTTTTTCTGACAATTCTCTTTGATAAAAATCATAACTATATAACTAGTGTATAATTGTGTATATGGATATACAAACACCTCTTATACACTATTATATATGTTTATACAAGTTATACAGTATTGTATAACTGTGTATAAATGTGTATATTTGTGTATAATATTGTATAATTATATATTTTTTCAGTTTATAAGGATGTATATACATTGTTAGTGTGTAAGAGGCCTCTACAGAAGTTTGACACTTCCTTCTCTTCTTCTTTTTCGTGTAATGTGTTGTATGAGCGTTGGAGGGATTCTACAATTCATTTACCAAGTTTTTATTTTTCTTTTATCCTGTTGGATTGCTTCAGCAATTGCACATAAAAGTGTTTGAATTTCTTACCTTCAGATAATATGTATTATTCAGGATTTTTGAGTTGCGTTGTGGCTGATTTGCATTTTTTTTATCAAATGCTTAATAATCAAAGGAAATCAACAGAATAAAAACAACTGGTTGTATACAGAGGGAGCAAAATAAGCTGTCTTTCGGGAATTAGCCTATTATTTTTTGGGCTATAGATTTGCAAAATGATATCTAGGCTATTATGTTGCAAGTCAGTTGTGTGAGTTGTATTTATGTGAAATTATCCCATAAATCAATTGCTGTATTTCCAAACAATGGGTTTATTAGTTTTTGGACTGCTTACAAGTTAGTTGAGCAGCTTTCAATTGTAAAATTGGATAAAGAAGAAAAACAAATGGTTTTCCATTGAAAATGAAGAAGGAATCTTTGATACAAATTGCATTAGAAGACTAAGCCAAGCTCGTTCTATCAAACAAAAAACCATTCTTTTCTCATTTCTGCTAATGGTTCTGTCCCACAGATTTCGCTGTTTTCAAATAATGTCTCAATCAGGAATTACATTATCCTAATATCTCTTCCCTATTAGTCAAGTTACATCAAAATAATGCATATATGAAAGATACCTTGACGTCCACCTCCACTGAACAAAAAGCTTAATTAGTTTCATCATTGAAAGAACTGAAAGCTTGAAATAGCATTATTACGATCTATTATTTAGAAGAGTCCAATATTGCCTATTTCCCTGCTTCTCGAAGTGCGTAAAGTCACATACTGCTAGCTTCAGCCTTGACAAAATTTTCTTGGCTTGTTTCTACTGTCCGATTCATAGTCTAAAATTAGATCCGGATTCAGGGTTTAAATCCCACCGATTCAATTTTTAAGTTTTTTAGTGTTGAATTTATTATATTCTTAAGGTTATGGGTTTATATCCACTATTTATGTAATTTTAATAAAATTTTACTCGTATCGAAAATTATGGGTTCAATTAAATCCGTGGTAACACACTACGTACGATGTAGAAATGACACCAGATAGCCACTCTAAAGGGTTATTTATTTAAGAATTTTCAATTTTTCAAGATAAAACGACCTTGAGTTATCTTGAAATTAAGTTTTTTAATTTAAAATTTTAAGACAAAATAAATATTGACTGATTTCTTAAAAAGCATCTCTCCCAATAGCTATGTGTACACTTGACCCACATACGGCCCTGTCTGAAACTACTAGTATATCATATTTTCTGCAAAACCATGTTCCAAGACATCTATCCCATCAATGAAAGAAATAAAGAAATTTAGTTTACCAATTCCCAAAGTAATTATTTGCCCATAAAATATTAAAGTAATACCATCTTGAACAAAGGAGAGTGTGACAGATGCACTATCACCATTGTTGATGCCACGTCAGTCCTTTGTTTTCAGTTACAACAGTCATTTGGATAAGCATGTCAGCTACAAGTCTTCTATATTATGTACCTAGAATGTGCTTTCCTGGGATATTTATGGTTCTTGAAAAAAAAATTTAGCTTGGGATTCTTGAAAAGTTTTTAGCTTTTACTTTGTCCAAACATGTTGGCTGTATTTGAGCAATCCATTGGGAAGCCACCTCCAGAATTGAGCCTTGCTCAAGCAGCTATACTGAAAAAGGAGGCTAAAACAAGGGAAGAGATTGCAGAAAGTTTCAAAACATGGAAGCAAGACTCAAGTTTTTACCACCTTTTCAATGGGAATTTCATGGCTTTTTCTCATGGAAATGAAAACCCTTTACAACCAAGGTATTGATGTTTAGTACTAGTAATAATAATAACATGTTTTGTTTTTTGTTTTTGGGCAAATTGATTAGTGTACTAAAAGGGTGAACTTTTCTTGAAAACTAGTACTCCATTGTATTTCAAGATTGTCTGAGCTTGTTTTGATTTGTTTATATTAGGTCTATTGTTGTGATGGATGATGTCTTCTGCATCTTCTCTGGGGTTTTAGATAACACTTTTGATTTGAGAAAACATTATGGTCTTTCAAGACAAGCTACAGAGGCTATGATAATGGTTGAAGCTTACAAAGTTTTAAGGGATCGGGCGCCATACCCTCCTGATCAAGTCATCAAAGAACTTGAAGGCAAATTTGCTTTTATTCTGTTTGATTCAAAAGCTTCTACTCTTTTTCTTGCCAGGGTGAGTTACAGTGTCTTTTGTCACATATTTGATCTCTTTCTTAGCTTATTGAACATTCATATTAACCATTTCCATGATCGAAAACTTGGTGTGTTTCTTTAAACTTAAGTTTAAGCAAACTAGACACCATGATCAACATAGTATTTTTAGAAGAGTTTAAGTTCCGTGCCCTGACGACATGTAAAATGTTTACACAATCATGTCATTTATAAGGTAATTACATGTTAATCTCTATGTCGGTTTAATCGCTCTGATTATTCTATCACCCTCTCTAATTATCACCTTATCTTGTTGTTATTACTATTTCTTGTGTCTGCCTCTTTTTCACTTTTTTCTTGAGCCGGGGTCTATCAGAAATAGCCTCTCTACCTTCACAAGATAAGGGTAAGATCTGCGTACACTCTACCTCTCCCAGACCCCCACTTGTGAGATTATACTGAGTTTATTGTTGTTGTTGTTGTACATGTTAATCTCTATGATAAGCATTAGTTGGTAACCAAGTGAAAGTGGTAACAAACCTTCTATAACAGGTTAAACTACACTAAAAAAACTTTATACTATCAATCTATATAACTTAAATCCTTTTTAGGATAAACTTAATGTTGCTCTAAAGAATCTAGGATCGTGATACTTAATGTTGCTCTAAACAATCTAGGATCGTGATGGATGTGTGCCGTTACACTGGGGAACCGCTGCAGATGGGTCATTAGTATGTTCGGATGATTCAGAGTTCATTCAAGCTTCTTGTGGGAAATTCTATACCCCATTTCCTCCAGGTTTCTTAATCAAATCCTCAAGTTTGATTCAATATTTTTAGATATAAAGCAGAATTTAATGTATAACCCTGATGGTACAGGGTGTATCTTCATAAGTGACACTGGGCTAATAAGCTTTGATCATCCATTGCACAAAGTAAAAGCAATTGCTCGCGAAGATGATGAAGGAAACATCAATGCTGTGATTTTCCAGGTGGATTTGTACACCAAACTCCATAGCATTCCACGCCGGGGAAGTGCTGCCAATTGGGCAGGTACCACTGCGGTCGAAGGAGACTGAAGGCTTAAAACTTTGTTTTGGGGTAAATTGACAATCTTCCCAAGTTGAGTGTAATAATGTTAAATCACAAATGTTATGCCTACTTTATCGCAATCTCGTTGAAGTAATCTGAAATCATATGTTGCTGCAACCAAATCAATCCATTCATCTTTTCAATAGCTTTCAGCACTATGTTCATTCATTTCATTTTTTCCTCAATTTGCTTCCTTAATTTGATAAATCAAATTCTGGATTCCTGTAGATTAGTTTCCTCTCAGAAGATTAAAGAAATAAATTCGCGATCTTTAAATTATTTCATCCTTTAAGTAAGAGGTTCATTGCTTTCCTTTCTAAATATAGAAGCTATAGATATGTGAAACTAAACAGCAAATTTTAGAAGTGAGAATTTTTTTGAAGAGAAGTTGGATTCACAAAGTAAGTCCACATGACCAGTCGATTAGCGACCTCCCAAGTTCCTGCTTCTTCCTTCCATTTTCTAACTACAGAGAAATTGCTCAATGCTGAATGATATTAGGTAAAGTAACAACAAATATATTCAGCATTATATTCCAAATACTAGTAGCAAGTCTATTTTTATAGTGGATGAGGAGGTTTAGCAAATTGTCCAACTTCTTATATTCCAATCCACTGTAAACTAGTTTTATTTAAGTTCCTTGGAAGTGAGTAAATTCTTAGACAGTGTATAGAGTTTTTCTGGCTGAAGCTACATATATAGTTCCTTTTTCTTGGTTTTTGGGGAGTCTAGTTTATGATGTCGTCGTCTTTATGCTGCTTTGACTGATGATGAGCTTCCTCCTCTTCACTTCTTTCTACTCTATGATCATGTCGGTTCTCGTGTTTGTGTTGCTTTGGAGAAACAAAGTGTAGTAGAAGTTCATCACAATCTTCACTCTCACACATATCTGGCCTACATCTGTAAGGTCCATCGTATCGTGATAATCCTGAGATATGGAATTCAGTTATTCCTCCACTAGGATTGTTGGCAGGACATGCATAACCACAGCCCGAGGGACAGCCAAAGCCGGGGTTAAATCCGGGGATACCAAAACCAGGGGCATCAGAATCACCCCCTCCTCCGCTGCCGCCACCACCACCCCAAGCACCAAAACCAATTCCAAAACTGCTAGCTTCACCCACACTGAGACCTATACCTCGACGTCCTCCATATCTTAGATGTTTTTGTTTATTGTCATGTTTGTCTTGCATGGGGAAAACAAAGTGTAGGAGAAGCTCATTACAATCTTTACTGTCACACATATTTGGCCCTGGTCTGCATCGGTATGGTCTAGCCGATTGTGATATTCCTGTGATTTTGGATTCAGTCATTCCTCCAGTAGAAATATCGGCTGGACACACATAGCCACAACCAGGGGAATAGACTGGAACACCAAAACCAGGATTAGGTAGGAAACCAAAGCCAGGGACAGTGCAACCACGGATACTGCAGCCAGGGTTATAGCCATAGTTAGGAGCGTCAGAACCACCACCACCACCACCACCGGCCCAACCACCACCAATGCCAAATCCACCGCCTCCTCCAAAGCCATTGGCGTCGATATTACTCAGAATGTGAGCTTTGAGGTTGTCATGATCAGCTTCCTTAGCCTTAGTTGCATCAGAGGTAACAGGCTGGCCAGAGCATATTGTTAAGCTTAGCAAAATCATAAAAGAAATGAAAAACCATTTTGGAGCTACCATTTTAGCTAATTTCTTTAAGTAAAGACTTTGATTTGAGTGATGATGTTATACTGTTACACCACAAGGGTATTTATAAGGCAGAAGTACTTGCACAACAACCTGCAAAACTAACTCTTGTTAGAGCATTTCCTGGAAAATTGGGAGTAGTAGGCAAATCTGAGGCTAACATTAAGGTTTCATGTATTTTTGTTGCAAACATGGACTTAGTGTGAGAGAAAAAGTACCAAGATTTTGTCTCACCTTGATTTCAGTTATGGAAATAAGGAAATTACATTATGAAGCTGCCTCAGAGAAGTAGCTAAGATGAGGATGTTGAGGTGGATGTGCGGACATACCCGGTTGGATAAGATTAGGAATGAAATTATTCGGGAAAAGGTTGGAGTGGCCCCTGTAGAGGATAAGATGCGAGAGGCGAGATTGAGATGGTTCGGGCATGTGAAGAGGAGAAGTATAGAAGCCCCAATTAGAAGGTGCGAGCGATTAGCCTCGGCGGGTAGGAGAGGGGTAGAGGTAGGCCTAAGAAGTCTGAGGTTATTAGGCGGGGCATGGCGCAGCTGGAGCTAACTGAGGACATGGCCCTAGACAGGAGGGTGTGGAGGTCAAAGATTAGGGTAGAAGGTTCGTAGGTAGTCGAGCGTTTCTCTTTGTCTTGCTCAGTTCGCTAGCGTTAGTATTAGTATGATATCTTTTATCCATATATGGCTATTACTACCTAGAGTTTGACTGCATTCTTGGATTTGATCGTATTTCGTCTTGTTGTAATTCTTACTTGTTGCAATTACCTTTATCGAAAACAACCTCTCTACCTTCCAGGGTAGGGGTAAGACTGCGTACATCGTACCTCCCCAAACCCCACTTGTGGGAAACTATTGGGTTTGTTGTTGTTGTAAATCTGTTTTATGCTTGATTCAAATACTGATTTAACTTACATGGCTAAATGTGCAAACTTCGAGCCTATCTTGATTTATTTCCCGTAGCATGTAGTATATATTACATAAAAAAAAAACATGTTTGAATCAGCTTTCATATAAGTGCTAGGTCCATTGTCGCTTCTTGTCTGCCACTATATCCAACCTGTAATGCAAATTATCCAGTTATACTAAGCTAGATATCCAATTAAAATAAAAATAGCTCTTGATTAGTAAACCGGGTAGTGACAAGGTCGCATATCCATCAAACTTCTGGTGCTCCGCTAGGACTTGTGGCCAAGTTCTGATCGACATGGGGTTAAAATTTAAATTGTGGTACAGAAATAGCCTATTTGTGCAAATCTCCCCATCCAAAATGACACAGATTATTACATGGAAAACAAAAAGTCCTTTTATAGAAGTCATAACGTATCACAAAATAATTATTCAAAATAGAGGTATTTTTTTATTTTTTATTTTTTTAATAGAGGTATATCTTATTATATACATCATATATGTTTAAAAGTTGGTATACAAATTTGATTCTTCTTTTGATTAATCCAGGGTTAACATTAAAGGCAAATGATTGAACCTAAAGTTGTTAGCTACCTTGTATTGCCAGTACGATAAAACAATAAACTGCTTAAAGTCTACTGAGGTCTTTTCCTGTATGAAATGTTGATATCTCACGGTAATAAAATTATGAAGAATTGCCTTTCAACCAAAGAAACAAACATTCATATGCAGAAGATGCAGAAGATACAAACTCTGAAAAGAAACTCAACATGATACATATGGGAAGATATCAGCTGATAAAAAGAAGGAATGTTATTACAACGACGCACCTGATATCTAACTCAATCAAAAGTAACTATATTTATGCGCTAATATCCTATATAGATATTAGATTATAGGAGATTTTACTCAATTTGAATTTTTTAGTTAATATAATTCCTAGCTTTATGGAATTTGTTGAAAGAAGAATTGAAGCTGGAGATGAAGGAGAGCAAGAGAGAGAGAATGTCGGTTGTGAGAGCAACTGACTCTCTTATATTTTTTCATTAAACTAAAAGAAAATGAAGATGTACAATTTATGTTATTTCCTAACTCACTAACTTAACTCAATACTAACTTGTGTCTAACTAACTAACTATGGTTAGTTCTATATGTACACAATGTATAACTACTACTAGGACTTAATATTTATACACTCCCCCTCAAGTTGGGTGATGAAATACACTGGTCATCCCTACTTGCATACCATATCATTGTGTAACTGCTTCCCAAGGCCTTTAGTCAATATGTCTGCCACCTGATTTTTGCTACATACATGTTCTGTCTTGATCAACCCACTTTGTATCTTCTCTCGTATAAAATGGCAATCTATCTCTATGTGTTTAGTGCGTTCATGATACATAGGATTCGAAGCTATCTGCAATGCTCCCTTGCTTTCACAAAATAACTCCATGGGCAGTTCAACCTTTATGCCTAATTCCTGCAACAGTCCCTGTAGCCAAACAAGTTCTGCCACTGTAGTTTCCATACTCTTGTACTCAACTTCAACTGAGCTCCTTGAGTCTGTCCTCTGGTTTTTTATTTGCAGGAGATTAGGGAATCCACCAGCTTAATACAATACCCTGTCACTGTCTTCCTAGACGCCATACATGATGCTCAGTCTGCATCACAAAAGGCAGTGATCCTTCCAGATTTTTTGCTACTCATCAGTAACCCCAATCCTGGTTGGTCTTTTATGTATCTAACCACCCTTAAAGTTGCTTCACAATGCATCTCTGTTGGAGAATACATGTATTAACTGAATGTTTGGATGGCAAAAGAAATATCTGGCCTAGTGATAGCCAAATATAGCAATCTTCCCAACAACCTTTGATATGGTCTTCTATCTTCTAATTCGGAACTTGTACCTTTATCAGGTTCAAACAACTTGTCATATTCAAGGGTGGTGAACTTCTGGTTTTGTTCTAAAGGTGTTGTAAGTGGCTTTGCTCCCCCTAGGCAACATTCTGAAATCAACTCTAAGGCATACTTTCTTTGATTCATAAGTATACCCTTAGATGATCTTGCAAATTCAATCCCCAAGAAATATCTCAATTCCCCTAAGTCTTTCATTTTAAAGTTGCTGTTCAGAATGTTCTTAGCTTCTTCTATCAGTTTGGTGTCATTGCCAGTGATAACAAGTCATCCACGTATACTAGAATGATCACAAGATTAGCATCTTGGCCTTTTGTGAACAAGGAGTAGTCCAGCTTACTCTGTGTGAAACCTGATTGCACTAAAGTTGTAGTAAGTTTAAGATTCCATTGTCTGCTGGCTTGTTTCAACCCATACAAGGATTGAAGAGCCAACATACTTTGTTCTCCCCCTGGCCATCAAATCCTTGAGGCAGAGATAGACCTCTTTAAATAAGTCCCCCTGGAGAAAGGCATTGTAGACATCCATTTGGTAGAGAGGCCAATTGTCACGACCCAAATTCCATATAAGGTCGTGATGGCGCCCAACGTTGTTGTTAAGCAAGCCAACACTATCAAATAGTAATTCTCATTTGAATAGTTAGTACGCGATAACTTTCCATTATTGATTAAGAAATTCAGAGTTTGAAAATTTAAGCATATTTAAATGGAAGTAATAAATGCGAATTCAAATCATGAAAACAAGCCCAAACATCATAAGTCTACCAATTGTGTGCCAAGACCTGGTGTCACAAGTGTGTGGGCAATCTAGTAAAATATACAAAACCATACTATCCTACTGTCTAGAAAAGAAATAGACAGGAACATAAAGACAAAAGAGAGACTCCAGCTGCTGCAGATCGGCTCAAAAGGGCAACTCACCGGAAAGTCTCGAGCTGAGGAGTCCACTCTATGCGCCGGACTGATGGCCTGATGCACCTACCTCAAAGCCTGTACAATCAAGGACAGAAGTGTAGTATGAGTACATAAAAATATGTACCCAGTAAGTATCTCGCCTAGCCTCGCAGAAGTAGTGACGAGGGGTCAACTCCGACACTTACTAGGGCCAACAATGTAATAATGTGAAGTTCAAATTCTTAAAGCATAATGTATGTAAGTAACAGTCAAGCTCAAACCAGAACAATAACCGAGGAATTTCCCCCACCACACTTAAGAAGGCAAGACACATTCTTTATTTAAAACAAGTGGTATATCAAGTAATGAAACATACAACTACAAAGAGTTCCCATACTATTATCACACACAATTTCCACCGAGGACGTTCGGTCCTATCTAACATGAAAGTAAAATGTGCACCGTCGAGGGCCGAACGGCACGAACCATAGATGCATCTATTCACCCCGCTCGCGAATCATACATGCGACGCGGTAAAAGCATAACCCTGCTCGCGAATCATACGTGCGACGCGGTCAAACATAAAACACAACACTTCTTTAGTTCCTTTTAAAAAAATGAATACAATTCACTTGAAGCCTGCAAATCCTTAGATTTTCTTCAACTTAATTACATTCATACAATTAGCGCATATTAGTAAATAATAGTGTCCACAAAGCATTATGTAAACCTAGAACTACCCGGACATAACATGAATAGTAGCTACGTACGGACTCTCGTCACTTCGTGCGTACGTAGCCCCCACAATTAATCATATATTAATTAAGTTCACCTATGGGGAAATTTTCCCCTTACAAGGTTAAAAAAGAGACTTACCTCGTTTCGAACCTACTTCCAACTCAAGAACGCGTTCAAACTCTCAAACCGGAGCCGCACATTCCAAAACTATTCCAATAGTGTAAAAAACCCAATCATTATAGGTTTACAAATTCATATTCTAGCTATTAAAGTGATTATCCAACCCCAAAGGCAAGGTTCCTGAAATTCACCCTCGGGCCCATGTGCCCGGATTACGAAATCTTTTGAAGAAAGTTGTTACCCATAACCTAAGGATCAAGAATATATAATTTTTACTTCATTCCATAACTAATTTCGTGGTTAAATCTTGTTTTTATAAAAAAACCTAGGTTTTACTCTAACCCCATAATTTTCACTAATCTATACATGTTAATCTACCGAAAATCCAAGTATTTAACTCACATATAGTAGG